TGATCCGGAATAATTCCTGTAGTTAATCCCCAAAATTAATGCGGATCAGCGAAATTTTAGATGACAACACTAGCCCAAACGACCAGCTGGTACTCCACAAGTTAGCAAACAAACTAAGCGAGTTTGGCGTTCGTGGTAGCCAAGTGGTGGGAAGGCAAATCAGCCACTGTATGTCCAATCAGAGAACTTAGATAGATAGAGAAGGTGCAAACTGAAAGTGGAAACTATTCGCGGACGAAAAATTAACAGCGTTAGAAAAGTTCAAGTCGGAATGTAAAAATTCTGTTGTATTTAATGTTGATAACATAATACAATGTTGAGCAACATGAAATGTGATGTTCTTTGTGAGCAAATAAACGAAAATATGGTAAATCTTCACATAATTTTCATTAATTTGTAATTTTTGTTAAATTGTTTATCTTGTTCTCCTTTTATGAAGATGCAAATACAATTTAAAATAATGATAGTTTGGCATAAAGTTTACACACATATGTACATGCATACATATACTGGCAATCAAAAGTGAGTGCATGGTGATTTTTGCTTAATATTTGCAATGTTTTTCAATTAATTTTTTTTTTATTATCTTTTTATAAAAATGTGGTTCATGCTTTAATCAAAACTATACTTTCAAACTTTACACAGAACATAGAAAAATTCAACGAATTCTCGTCTAAATTTTGATCTGTTAAATCTGAGTTTTTAGAAAAATTTTGAGTACGCAGATAGATCGGTTTTTTAATTCTAGTGGAACAAGATCAAGTTTTAAGCGGCTAAAAAATCCGGTTGATTTTTAATGATTATTTATTGCTGACGGCTTTTTGCACTTTTTACCAAATAAAAGTGAATTTCTCGTAGAATAAAATGCGCATGACCGTTTGCAAACAAATAAAAAAAAATTAGCGCTATTTTTTACAAATTTTTGGTTGCCAGTGTACATACATATTTGGGTTTAAAATTAACTACTTATGAAATAATTTTTGTGGCACGAACATATACATACTTGCGCTTTCTAAAAATGGGAATAAAAATTGGATTCGCATAAAATTTTAATTCCAATAACTAATATTTTAGTGAAAATATTTACAATAGAGCTTTCAGTATCTTTTGGCAAATTTGAGCGATTATGTGAAATTATACATGCGTTTGTACCTACATATTCATTTACATATATTATTTTAAACAAAGCTAATAGTAAAATTTAAAATGGAATATGGATATGACAATTAAAAAAAAAAACAAAAAAAAAATTATTACTTGGTCCGTCCGGGATTTGAACCAAGACAAACGGCGAGACGCCAAAAAGTTGCGTCGCCTCTAGCATACGCGCCACAGTACATCATTCAAATTCCAATCTCTAAATCACTACATATATGAAATTCTTCATATATTCAAAAAGACAAACGAATAAATATGTATGCATTAATAAATGTAAATATGTGCATACATATGTACGATTGTACTGCTTTCGTCTTCCCCTCGCCGTCCACCAACCAAAAACAAATTATTAAATTTCTGCGAATTGCCACGACGCCACCAAAATTAACCCTTGGTTGACGAAATATTTAGGTTTTCGCATAAGTTTACATTTAATAAAGCCATACTCGTACATTTTATATGGAGAAGAATATTAATTAATTTAAAATTCTGCATGTAACCATGTTCTCGACGATACATGTAACTTTCATCAAGATTAACCATAAAAATTGTGCTTCATTAACAGTTGGAACCAGCTGAAACCAAAAAAACTATGTCCGCTAAAAGGGTTAAAAACCAACTGGAATTGACATTTTTTACACGCATACATGCATACATTCATATACACATGTACAGTGGAGTAGCACTAGCTTGGACATTGCATTGCTTGTACTTTGATGTGTTTGAATCTTTTATGGTACTGAAGATTTACTTACGGATGGAAAATATTAAAAATCGTCCGTGCATATATGTAAATATACTTTTATAAAGGCTTTGAAGTATAGAAATTTTTAATATTAAAAAATAAATAAAATAATTTTTTTGTATATATGTAAATGGTGTTCAAGGCACATTGACCCACCTGTACAAAAATCGTGGCGCATCATGGACAAAAATTTTACAATTTCGGACCGAAAAATGTGAAAACGAGCTAAGTTGCCACGTTACATCTGTGAACTTCCGATAAAACCACATATGTTTGTGATTTTAGAAGTTTTGATTTTATTAAAAAAAAATTAATGTATTTTCCTGCAGAAAACGTACACTTTTATTTAATGTTTATTAAAATGACACTTTAAAATACTAGTTAATGATTGAAATATTGGTATGGAACAGAGAAATAGAGTGTTTTGTCAAAAATTACCAAAAATTACCAAAAATTGCCAAGATTCGAGATAACTTATTTTACTGGTTAAGGAGAAATAATTGCCAGTTTTCACTTGGCTGGCCGAGATTTCTTCATTTTAAGATTTTAGAATTTTTGTGTCGGATTGACAAAGTTGCGCTTGATGGTGATGAATTTGCGGGGAGATGTGCTGCGGTTGTTTTTATGAATGAATTTACTTGGCCTTGAGAAATATGCGCATGCGTTTAGGAATGAAATAGTTATTGTTGTATTTGAATATGCGCGTAATTATGTATGTGTGTATGTATGCTGCCGTGAGTTGTACATATGTACATTTGTATATATGTGCGTGGTACTTATATGCACGTGTGTATGGATGTACTTATATATGCATGCAAAAACGTTGTCAATTAATGGAGCATGTAGTACATATAGATACATATACATATGTATGCGTGGGAAATGCATTTTCATTTGACTCCAAAACTATTGGGGCATATTAGTAGACGAAATAAAGTCGACTCTTAAGTTAAAGTTTGTCAGCCCCAAATAAGAAGAAAGTTAGTATGTACTTACATATATGTAATATTATGTGCAGGTGCAAGAACGTTATCAATAAATGATTTTGGAGTATGGGGTACATATTTACATATGTAAGTACATACATACATACATTCAGATGCCATCAACTAATTAGCAACGAAATTCAATATGATATTGTTGCAAATTATGTTTATTTATTTTTAATGATTTCCATTTAAAATATAATTCAATCTGTAACAAAAACCACAATAATAGAAGTTTAAAAGTTTGCACAAATTGCAAAAAAACGAATTGAACTTCAAGAAATGGTCACAAAAATTTTTAATTAGAATATTTAAAAAAAATTCGGGTATGCAATATTGTAGTCCATTGAATTATAGTATAAGAAAGTGCAAGTTTCAAGTTGTTAAAAATTACCGTTGATTTTTTAGGTTTTTTTTTGTTGGGGTACTGCTGTTTTTTCCCATACAAAAAAAAAATTTTGTTCATGTGTTATATGGAAGAAAATGCGAACAACCCTCCACAAAAAAATTCTAAAAAATGAACGGTAATTTTTAACGACTAGAAGCTTGGACTTTCATATACTATAATTGAATGGACTACAATACTGCATACCCGAAAATTTTCTAAATATGTATTCTAATTAAAAATTTTAAATTTTTATAACAATTTTTTGAAGTTTGATTTATTATTTTGCAATTTGTGCAAGCTTTTAAACTTTTATTATTGTGGTTTCTGTTATAGATTGAATTATGTTTTAACGGAAATTATTAAAAATAAATAAACATAATTTGCAAACAATATCATTTTGAATTTCGTTGCTAATTAGTTGATCGCATCTGTATGTACTACAAGTATCCATATGCGCATGCCTGGGAAATGGATTTGCATTTGACTCGAGAACTATTATTTACAAATAATATCTACGAGTATTGCAGTAAAAGTCAAAAACAACTTTGAAGTTAACAAACACATTGCTTTGTAAATTTTTTTGTTAATGCGTCCGTCTTTAAAGTGAGTTTGTGAAAAAACTAAGGCAGTTGGAAAACTGGGATTTGTTGCATTGAAAATAGTGTAGCAACTACAATAAGAATCGTTAAAAAAAAAACGATTTTTGCGACCCAAATGCCGACGGCAAATCACCAATGAGTTTGCATATTTGCATAGCTTTCACCTATTTATTAGATAACAAATCTACGTTTTGGAGTTAAAGCATTCCCTGGCCAATATCTTCGAAAATTAATTTTGAAGTTAACAAACACATTACTTTATACATTTTTTTGTTAATGCGTCCATCTTTAAAGTGAGTATGTGAAAAAACCAATTTTATCATTTTTTTAACTAACATGCATTTTTACTATTTACATGATATAATACTCGTACAAGAAGCGAACTTGAACAGATGCTTTTTAAGTTTTTAGCAACATTAACTACTGAATAAATTATATTTAACAAATGGTCATGCAGAAATGCAAATCAGCAATTCTAACTAATATAAAAGTACATTTAATATAATTTAACTATATTAATTTATTTAATTTTATTAAAAAAATATACATGAATACGTTTCTGCATTCACATGCAACCTAGCAACACATAGCTAGACACTTGCAACAAATATAACATTATCCTAACAGAAATTTACATTTTTCTCTGTTAACTCTTCTTGAAATGTTAATCGCGCTGTGGTGATATTCCATGGATTTATTTTTCAGCCAAACAATTTTACGTTCCAAAAATTTGCACCTTCTCTATCTATCTAAGTTCTCTGGTCCAATGTACATTTGTTTTGCAGACAGCTTTTCTGCTTTGGCATTCAGCTAATTCTTTG